TTTTTCCCATGTTCTAACATTTTATAGGCAAAAAGCATCAAGGATCTTGATTCTTTTACAAAAAGTATACTCCGTACAATTATTTTATAGTGTTTGAAACATGTTTGTGTGTGCCATAGGATTATTGTCTGTAGTGATATACGCGGCCTTCCCTCTAAAGTAGGATTTTCCTTCCGCCGTTCTGGTGCGGATCAACCGTTTCCGATGGCGGACGCAAGCGAGAGTAGGCAAGAGACAGAGCGAGATCGAAGGAGAGAGCCAGCCCTGCAGAGGGGTTGGTCGGGAAAGGGGACGGAGAGGCGAGAGCAGATACGAGGTGGCGCCTTCTCATCCTCGTCCGGCGGACTCCAAGGCGACGACGGCGGTTCCGAGACTGTGGGAACTGGGACGCTGGAGAAACTGACTGGGAGGATCCATAGTATGGGTCTGGGCAGTCTGGGGGAGGAGTTGATGCTAGACGATGAGGAAGAGGCCGAGCTCGATCCTGAGGCGGCAGAAAAAGTGGTGGAAACCTACCCTGTGGTGGGAACGATTCTAACAGATAAAGTGTGACACCGCACCCGGATGTACTTGAATTTGAAATTTGATATGTATTTGAATTTCCTAGCGAATAAAATCGTGTAACAGATTGCTATATTTAATTAAATTACTTATCGGGCCTGTAATATTGAGAATGTGCTACCAAATATTTAGTTGGGTCATCGTGTACTTGTGGACATTAATTGACCAAGTTGAACACATATTAGGTTTTCCTACATGACTTGTGAGGGGGACTTTCTACACCCACTTGGGGTTTTTCCTACATGACTTGTGGACATTAATTGACCAAGTTGAACACATATTAGGTGAGGGGGGGCGTGCAAGAGGAGGGAAGCCTCATAGGGACAAAATCCACACATCGCATACACTACAAAAAAACACGGGATTGGCACGGAAATTTGGCACGGATTACCGATTTTTCGTGCCAAATAGCTCGTGCCAAAGTTTTTTGGCACGGATTTGGCATAATCCCAGCCAAAATCCCTGCCAAAATCCCTGCCAAAATCCCTGTCAATCCCGTGTTTTTTTGGTAGTCCAAGATTATGCTAGAATTGATCTAAATGTTGGATTTTGATATGACCTTAAGTAGTTTTGAGAGATACTTCAAGGTGACTTGATTGATGAATTAGAGTTGTATGAACTCTAGGTGATATTAGGGGTAAGCCTAAAAGGCTACTCGAAATGAATTAATCCTAGGCATAAGATAATGTTCATGAATTGGAACATGATGTTGAATTAGAGTCGAGCTCTAGGATAACATGTAAATGTAGTTGGGCCGAGCCCTTGCCATGTGATTAGGATAACATGGAAATGTATTTGGGCCGAGCCCTTGCCATGTGACTATGATTTACATGGAAAGTTAGTTGGGCCGAACCCTTGCCATGTGATTAAGATTTACATGGAAATTTAGTTGGGCCGAGCCTTTGCCATGTGATTAAGATTTATAAAGAAAAGTAGTTGGGGTGAGCCCTTGCCATGTAATTGGGATTGCATAGAATTGTAGTTGGGCCGAGCCCTTGCTATGCAATTATAATGTATTACATTTCGAGTTAAAGGATTCCATAGAAATGTAGTTGGGCCGAGCCCTTGCTATGCAATTATAATGTGTTGAATTTCGAGATAAAGGATTGCATAGAAGTGTAGTTGGGCTGAGCCCTTGCTATGCAATTATAATGCGTTGAATACTAGAAGTGCCATGACTAATGTTCACGGGAACTAGAGGAAATGTTTTCAAGTGAACATGGGCCTACGGGCCGACTACTTGACTTTATAGGTTGTAACTAAGGGTTACGGCCTATAATATAATAACACTCTATTTGAGGGTCTTAGGAATTTAAACATTGATTATACTTAGCATAGTTGTCATTGTACTTTTCAAATGCTTCAAAGTACTGACCTCCCCTTCACGGGGGAGGCCACCTCACAGTTTCAGGTAGAACTTGAAGGTTGTTACCATCGCCAGTTGCTTCGAGAAGATCCAAAGAGAGAAGACGTGGTCCGTGCTTCCTCCGTATCTGTTTTAAAAACAATTACATTAAATGTTCATGGATATTATTTTCTGAATAATTATTTGGGGGCTTGTATGCCCAAGTTTGCCAAGTGTGGCTTGAACACTTCTATTAATGTTTCCGCTGCTTTATGTTTGTTTATGGATGTACTATGTGTGAATGGTATTCAAGACGCCTTGTATAGTATGGATGTGTTAGACCGTGGTTGACTATTCGTACTGTACGGCGGCTTGTTGACATGTCCGATAGGTCCGGGGCGTGACATAAAGTGGTCAAATTCTCGGTCTTCCGCGACCTGATGGCGTCATTGTGGCGTCCGGGTAAAGGTGTGCTGATTCAAGACATCAGGGAAAAGAGGTATGTATTTACATTCTACCACATAATAGATATGAATAGTGTGCATGCTGAATGGCGGACCTTGGTTATTTGATCAGAACCTGTTAGTATTGAAAGCCATTAAACTAAGGGATATGCCTTTGAAGGTACCACTTGATACCGCTGAATTTTGGGTTGAGGTTCACAATATTCCTTATGGTTTTTTAAATTCGGGTTATGCTCGTAAGATTGGAAATTATTTAGGCATATTTGTTTCTTGGGATGACAACCAATTTGCAGAGAAGCGAGAAGCTTATATGAGGGTGCGTGTGTTGCTAGATGTGAGGTCTCCTCTAAAGGTGGGGTTAACCCTGAAAAAGAGTAAGGGGGAGGGTATTGGGTCGATTTTAGGTATGAAAAGTTACCTAGCTTCTGCTTTGCATGTGGTGTTATTATTGGACATGCTGAAAAATTTTCTCCCCTACTGTATGAAAGCGGGGACATGGCGGGGGTGAAATCTTATGGTCCTTGGCTGCGCGCGGGAGGAGGGAGATCTCGTCCTTCTAACGGTAGTTGGTGGCTGGTAAGTGAAGGAGGGGTAAGGAGAGACCAAGCGGGAAGACAAAAATATTCCAAGGAGATACAGGCCCAGGGTCAGAGTCACAGGCAGGGTAAGCCCCAGGGTGGTGGAGCGGAGGCAGTATCTGAAGTGGCTAGGACAACCAGCAGTGAAATGGGGGAAAAGAAGAGGAGGTTTGTTTTTTCATCCAAAAGGGGGGGGGGGGGGAGAAGAGGAGGCGGACTTGAGGCGTATAGGAACAGGAGCAGGAACGCTCAGAGGAGGATGACATGGCTCTGGACGAATAAAAAAACAGGGAAGAGGCGGGCTGGTCCACCCAGACCCGCCACCACATATGAAGATTATGAGCTTCTGGCAGATTGGAGTTATCTATGACTTTAGACTTGTTTTATTTCAGTTGTTTTTCCTTTTGGACATGGTTTGGTTTTGCTTGTTATCGTTTTTATTTTTGTCAAGACTCTAGAACGTAAGACAGGTGGGGGAGAGCCTAGTTTACTAGTCATTGGCTCATGTATGCCCAATTTAGGATCAACAAATCTGGTTGCTGCTTTTGAGGTGACAGATTCTAAGTCTGGTTCAAGGGTAGACGGTAGGCATGAGGTTCTTTGTCTGTTTGTAACCTGCTTAAGTTCTTTCTTATCAATATAAGAAACCTTCTTCTAAAAAAAGATTATTGTCTGTAAAATTTTACATACATTTTTGTCTGTGGATTGACTTTACAAAAAAAAATTATCAATGTAAAGAATTTTGAACATGTGTCCACAAGTTATACTCCTACATTTTTTTACCCTTTCAGAAATATTGTTGGTCAGTGCCGGACATTTATTGTCTCTAAAGAATGGATTTTAATTATCAACATTTTTATGTGTGGCCTAACTTTAGATATTAAAACTATTGTGTAATTTTTTTTAAAAAATGATTACAAAAAGAGTACTAGCTACATTCGTCCTGACTTAAAATTTTTATTGAAAATGACAAAGTTATTTAAAAAATAATTAAATTAGGTAATTTGAGTATACTTCCACAAGTAATTTTGATGTATATATAATATAATATGATCATTGATGATAACTATGAGTTTATATTGTGATATTATATGTGATTTATTTTTAATATTTGATGATTAATTTATCATTTAAGAATCCTAATTATTTTCTAAAAGCATTCCCTCTCCCCCAAAATGGGGTAATGGTGCAAAGAATGGTGTGATTGTTGGAGCATTTTTTTGGCAAATCCACCATTTTGGTGTTGAATTTGGTGCTTGTTGGAGTTGCTCTTAGTTGGGATTGGTGGAGTATATGTTTTGACTCCATAACCTTATTAATGTCAAAATTACAGTGTCAATTCAATCATAACGATGAGAATCACATTTAGAAGGATTTTCACAACTGAAGATGACATTCATAAAATTGAATATACATGGAAGATTAAAAGTGTATTTTCTCTATAACAAACAACTATTATTCAAAAACCTTAACATTGTAACCAAAAGTAATTGCCTTTATTACTTTATACTTCTTTTTACAACATGATCAAAATTTGATAAGTTCTTAAGATTTAAATTGCAAAAAGAAAAATCTTTTATGTGAATAGTTACATCACGATCAACAATAATTTTTGTTTTTGTTTTATTATTACATATTTCCAAATCTATTATAGTGTCTGTTCAAGATCTCAATCAACAATTATAGTAATCACTCAAATATAATTTATGTCAGGGCCGGCCCAGGGCATGTCTGCCCAGTGCGACCGCACAGGGCCCGGATTTTTGAAGGGCCCAAAAAAAAGTTTAGCATTACGCCCCAACCCAAAATCCCCTGCGTAAATCTAAATATGCTTGAAGAATGTCCCTTTTTTAAATAAATTGTAAGTTATTAATGACTATTTTATCATTACATTTATTCGTAAGTTGTATTTTAAGACAATTTGCTTGTGTTGCAACTTGAAAAAAGACCCAAATTTTATTCTCGCACAGGGTCTACGTTTCTTCGGGACCGGCCCTGATTTATGTAGTATATATATTATGAAAACGAGTTAAGAGTTTATGATTTTCTGAATGAGATACCACTTACCACTCTTACCAGGTTTAAATATCACTATCATATATTCATATTGAACTAAAAAGGTGCAACCGATGTTGGGATGCCATATAACATTACAAATTTATAGAACTGCTGCCAAATAAACTACCTCAAGAAGCTAAGATAGAAATGCTCCTTCAAAAAAAAAGGAAATGTAAGTTTGATTGAATGTAATGACATTTTGAATGATTCTTGGATCTCTTCATTTCTCTGCAGGTGTGACACCTCCACCAAGAAACAGAGAAGGGTCACCAGGTTCATCATCTGCTGAAGATGCTTCTGCAAACTCCACTCTGTACATTTCCTCAATCATAGGCTTCCACAGCCGCACCCGCGCATTGATGAACCAATTCGAAATCTGGGTTACAATCATAGGACAACAATACGTAGTACATTATTACATCACATATTCAAGAAAAATGGATTTTTTATAGGGATAAGGGTCAGATAGGGCCTCGAACTTGAAAAAAAATGTCAAATAAGGCCATATTTAGGATGCTCTGTCCGGCCGACGCCATTTGGGGTGGTTCCCGATGGAATTTTTTGATGAAATGTTTTGAGAATCTTATTCATTAAATCTAGTTTACTCATATCAAATTTGAACTAACAATTCAATCGGGAAGGCATTCAAATGAATTCATGAAGATAACTGCGCTTTTAACGGTACAGTTATTTTCAAGAATTCATTTGAATGCCTTCCCGATTAAACTTTTAGTTCAAATTTGATATGAGTAAACTAGACTTAATGAATAAGATTCTCAAAAAATTTCATCAAAAAATTCTACCGGGAACCACCCCAAATGGCATCGGCCGGACAGAGCATCCTAAATATGGTCTTATTTGACATTTTTTTCCAAGTTCGAGACCCTATCTGACCCTTATCTCTTTTTTATATTATAAAATTGCAGATTTAGACCCGTTATGCCATAACGTATGCCCACATTATGACATTTTCAATGAAATGTACTATTTCCAATTAAATAGTCCATGGGAACCGTAACTTTTCGAGTGAGTTTTTTGCTAGAAATGTTACATTCCGGTGAAAAAAGTCACAATATGGTTTAACTTATCAGACGAATCATTATATGGCTCATGGGAAAAATCTATTGAAGAAGTCAACGTGATCACTAAGGAGCGTGTTGGTGAGATAAATGGTGAGATTTCTCACTTCGAAAATATGAGATCCATTTTTCGAAGTGGGATAATCACCACCAATCAACATGCTAATGTATTCATGCAGCAATTTGAAGTGTTTACTATATATATTTATTGCAGACATGAGTTATAGGTCTAAATCTACAAACTTTTTAATTTCTAAATTTCTCCAGAATGCAGAAATTAATGATGAGATGATTACTTGGTTCTTAGACAGGCCTGTCTGAGATGCCAACATCAGTTTCTCTGAATCATTCGGGTATCTGCAACAAAACCAGCACCCAAAATCTTTCTTTAGTAAGTACATTTGTATGCATGATTCATGATAATAACACTAAAAAAAGTTGATGCATACGGGTGGAGAAAGTGTTGAAACAGCCACGCCCGAAGAGTAGCCACCGACGTCTCGGGCAGGCCTCGGATTGGCCTCCAGGGTTGTCCGGAGCTTTGGATCATTCCAAGATGTTGAAGGGACAACTTCTGAATCCCAAAGTTAGTCTCTCTATCGTGAAAAAGACTCATCCCTTTGGATTCTGAAGTTTTTCGTGTAATGGCGTTTATCTGAGATATGATTGCATCTCTTAAGTTGAAGAAATGTTTGGACATGGCTTCCAGAGCTAAAGCTGTGTAAGATTTCCCTGATATCACCTCATATGATGACACTAATTCCTCCATCTGATGATAGTATCTCTTGTACCTTCTTTCTACCTAGATAACAAATAACAAAAATGATTATTTGACTTTGATTATGTGTTAGAGCACAATACACGACCTCCATCCAAAACAAAGTTACCAAACTTTTGAGCACAAAGATGAAAATATTGAATTAAAAAGCATAATGGATCGACCGACCCAATCCGAAAATACGAATGAAAATCCAAAAAACATAGGGTGAAAAATGGTGATGAAAAGATATGATGATGAACCGGATCGGATGCGGGTGGACGTATATACCATTCATTATCCAACCCATCACCGGATACACCACCCTCCTGTCACCAACTCGCTATTATTAAAAGAATAAGTTGTTTAAAACATCACAAAATAGGAGTGAATGAGTCATATTTTGGGAATAAAATATTCATTGTCTTATTTATGGATTTCTTCATTGTTTTAGTCTAATTAAGTAATTTTCTCTCATAACTTTCTTAAATCCAACATACTAGTATAGCCCAATATAATTATAAATTGTTTTTTCCTAATATCACTAAATCTAAATGAGTCTATTTATTTCCTTTTCATTATTTTTATATTTCATGTTTTTTTACTTTCTTGTTATTTTTAACTTAATGGAGAAGACATAAACTTTCAGTTCATCTTTCACACTCAACTTTTACACTTATATTATTAAGAAATTGCTCCAAATTGGAGTAAAACGTATACAAATTGTACAAAAAAATTAATTATGTTTTATTCTCAAAATAAGACTTATTTGATTCTATCAAAGTACAAAACTTTCCTAATTAGGAAGAAAACAATAATAGTCATATTTATGCATTTTATCTATATTTTACTCGAGGATTTTTTTATTTCCTTTATTATTCACGTGTTCAACAAAATTTTAATTTATTACTCCCACTTTAATATACTATCCCAGTTTGAAATATTAATGACAGGTTAAATTTTGTCGAATTAACTCTATCGACACTCGATCATCTTAATTACGGAGTAATTATTAACTAATACGTATAACAATTACTTAGCTTCCTCGCTCTAGTGTAATGATTTGCAAGTTACATCCATATAAAAATAGGAATTTTATCAATCCAGGATCTGAAATATAGACGAATTATCCATTCGAGATCTGAAAGATGAAATATATCGATCTCGGACATAAACTATCCATTAAGGACCTGAGTGATTGAAAAATATCAATCTAGGATCTAAGTTGTCATGAATTCATTATTAAAATTTTAAAATATTATTTAGTTTTATTAACCTAATTAACTTTTGTGAGGAAAAGTGTATTAAAAATTAGCAATGGAACTAATAAAAAATTAAATAAATTATAACATATAAAATGTTAAGTCCTAGATCGATAGTTTTCATCACTTGGGTCATATACCGTTGCATTTCATCTTTCAGGTTCTCGATTGATAATTCATCTATCTTTCAAGGATTCAATAAAATTCCTAAAAAAAATCATAAAATGACATTTGTAATCCTACAAATGTTCACTATCAAATACGTAGTATTTTGTATAGATTTTCAAGATAAAAAATATTTAATACTCCGTATGAAAAGTCAATACTACAAATGTACTATCTCTGAGTTTTTTATTGTTATTTTCTATTCTTCATAAACATCAAGCTATTTTATTTCTTCATTTCTAGTCAAACCTCTTCCATTTTAGTCAGTGATGAGATGGGGAAGCTTGAAGCAATTATTATGAACTAGAACAATAAATGATCCACTTCCAAATACACCAATGGCTAGAGAAATGCTGCCTGGATAATTACCTCTTCCAACATGGCAACCAGCCTCATAATCTTTGCTTCAACATCATTGGTGGGAACCTGATCAATCCCTTGATTTGAGCGGATCCCAAACGCGCCGTTATTCTTCCCAGCCCGCCACATACTCTTCTCATTCGCCATGAAATGATTTGACAGCACACCAACACTGGCCACTTCCTCAAGGAGAGACAGGGCCGGTCTCAAGTATTTTGAGTCAGAAAGAGAGTAATCCGAGGGGAAACGCTCAATCCCAGGATTCATAAACATGGGATTCATCTGGTTTAAGGATGTTTCATGGTTGAATTGGACAGTTCCCAAAGAGAGTGACAGTTTATGGGAATGGTGGGTGGCTTCATTTGAGGGCTGCCCAAGAAGATCCATGAAATGATGTGTGGTATTTTGGTCAAGCAGAGGGGGGCTTGAGCTTCCAATTCTGTCACCACCCAGAAACTCAAAACTGGGGAATTGGCTTTGACAGGGATGATGATGATTGTGATATCTGTCAGATGGATAAACTGAGAAAGATTGGTTTCCAAATTGGTGACATGAGTTTGGAGATTCTTGGGATGCCATTGTAAGTGATTGACGGTGAAAGAAAGGTTCTTGAAATAATGGTTTTTATCAAGAAGAGAAATGGTTATGTAAAACAAGAATGACACCCACGCCCAGGGCGGAGCCAGGACACTGGGCCAATACAAAGAATATTTTTGAAAAAAAAAAATTATACGTAATTTTTTACCCTAAAAATTTAGACATTTTTAAAATTTGGGCTGGGCCATGGTCAGGGTTGGCCACCCCCTGTCTACGTCTTTGCCCATGTCTGAGGGTCCCCAACACCGATCGGACAGTTAGATGGGAGGGTGTAAGTTGTACTTTAATCATAAGCTGATAGATAGAGAGTGGGCTCTAGTCCTTACACTTGCAGAGACCTTATGCATTTTTAGTATAGTAACCTCAAATCGCATTTGTCGGGATTGGGATTGGAACGGAGACTTACCTTTTTTTTTTAGAAATGCTTCTGAGAGGTAATGATGAATTCAAGAAGTACGTCCAACTCAGAGGGATGTCCGTATGGGGATTAACTTCATCATATCCATCCAAACACCCTTTTTTTAAGATAGGCATGATTAAAGAAGTCAATGCTCACTTATTTCCAATGGTATATAGCATGCTCCATCCTGGCCTTTTTTAAGCGTTTGTTTTAGCTCCTTGCACAAAAATGGTATAAATAATCATGACTAGAAGTCTACAACAATCATATTCATGTGTCTAAGCATTCTCCACTCCCTCTCTTTCCTAATCATAATCTTTCCTAGGTATTTTTTTAACTTTTTTCTTTTTAGTACCTTTCAAAACTATCATCTATTTAACTAAATTAAAAAAATCTATTTAGGACGGGTCAGAATGGTTTCAATTAGATTTTTATCACATTTTGGTTCAATTCAGTTTGAAACGGATTGGAAAAATATTTATCAAACAAAAAACATAAAATGTTTTTATTTGGTTCAGTTTAGTGCAGTTTGATATCGTTCAATTAAACTGAACAGAATATGTCTAGTCTTGGACTCGGGCCAGGTGACTCGACCCGGATCCGGCCCGGGACCGTTACTGTGCTGAACCGGTCCGGCGGCCCGGACAGTGACCGGTCCGGGTAGGCCCGGCCTGGGGGTTCCCGGCTCGGGCTCGGGTCACCCAAAAGCCGAACCAGCCGGTTCCGGGCTTTTTAATTTTTATTTTTATTCAATGTTTTTTATCTTTTCGGGTTGGGTTGGGTATTTTGGTCCATTTGGGGTGGTTTGGGGGGTTGGGGGGGGTAATTAGGAAAAGGGAAAAAAAATGACCCTAGGCCCGGCCCGGACCCGGACCGGACCCGGTGGCTACCCGGGCTGGTCTCGAGCCTCCTTCAAAAAACCCGAGGCCCGACCGGGCCTAGGCCTGGGCCGACCCGGCCGGGTCCATGACTAAATATGTCCACCCCTAGTTTATTTAGTTTTTGACAATTTTTAGTCTTCTAATTGATATGTTAGTTGCACTTAGGATGTTTTTACTTGGACTGTAATTTGCCCCAGACCAGACCAGACTAGACCAGTTCAGACCAGACCAGACCAGTTCAGACCAGACCAGACCAGTTCAGACCAGACCAGACCAAATCAGACTTGGATAGTTATAAAAATACAAAGAAACCAGACCTTACCAGACCAGACCAGACCAGTTCAGACCAGACCAGACCAGATCAGACCAGACCAGACCAGCAAATTACAGTCCAAGTAAAAACATCCTTATAATATCTAACTTTGCATTTTTCACTATTCCTTCGACTATTATGACAATAATACTTTTAATAACAATATTTGAAAATTTTCATTTTTAGTCCTTGAACTTTTAAAAGTGTCACATTTAATTCTTGCATTATGTTTTTGCCACAATAAATGGAAGACTATAAGAGTATAAGTGTCACTAGTTGAGAATAACTCACCCAAAACAACCTTTAATTTCAATAGCCAAACATCTCAACTCATAAAATCCTTGACTTGTAATGACGTATTAGACCCCAAAACAGCCCTAAGGATAATGAACTGCACAATTTATCCCTTATAGTCATACCGGCTGAAGAGGATAATGAACTGCACAATATAGACTTTAAATGGTTTCACTGCGGTGGGCTCGAGAAAGAATAAAAAAAATGCGTCACCAATAACAATTAATGACAATTTAGGTGCCAACAATCAGTATAAGAAATGATATTGTCAACAAATATTAACAAAGAGCAAAGTCAAGGCCGAACAAAAGGAGTTTGAGTTCTACGTCTATCCTGAAGAACACAAATATGATCGTTTCAAAAACTGTTGCAAGGGCTGGCCTAGTACCGCCAATCACATTTGGAGAAGATTAGAAGAATACTTGCCCTCCATTCATTCGATCAAATTTCATCATAGATACAACAATGACCTATCATTGCAGGCTGGTATCCCCAACAATTTTAACTACTCAATAAACTAGTATGCTCTATTTAACTTTTATTTTTGATTATGCAAGTTTTAATTTTTTTCTCGAGTAAGATTTAGTTTAACCCTCCTATTCTCTTTATTGCATCTTCTTTATTAAACTAATAAGGTGTCCCCTAACTCTCACCCCAACACCTCCAGATATTGAATTTGCACGGCAAAAAACACAGGAACTGTAGGTTACGTTTTTCACGATGAGGTGTACGAGAGAAAAAATGGGTAGAATCATGCTAAAGGAACATAGACAACAATTTGTAGTATATTTCATTAGTTCTTAGCTTTTGTAATAAATGAAATAGTCAAACTCAATTTGCATGTATTTATTTATTTATTTATTTATTTATTTATTTGTTTATTTGTTTGTTTGTTTAATTTTAATAAACACTCTCTGGCTCCTAAATATAACTTCATGTTGCAATATTCATAAATCAACTGAACTCACTTTTAATTTATGATTTCATTTGTCACATTCTAATGTGATGTGTGTGATGCATTTCCAATGCAATATCTAAATATACGATACCTTTTTACTGTGAAAATCAATCTAAATATAACCATAAAAATTAACTTTATATATCATAAATAAAATTTCAAAGAGAAACATTATAGAAAAGTATTATTATTACTCCCTTCCTCACACAATTAAATTCATATTTCTGACCTTTTAAGTGAAGTTTTACTAACGTTGAACGTAAAATGTTCAAATATTGCTTTATAGCAACAAAATAGTTTTCAGTACCAACTATTTTAATACTACGTACATAATATGAAATTTAATTTATTATAGAATTTGTATGTATATAATCTAAACTATGGAGATTAATAATAATAATAATAATGATGATAATAATAATAATAATATTGTAGGGCGCCATAAAGTCAACCTATGAACTTAATTATATATGGTCATAAGGAGTGGTGAAATCAAAACTACAGCAAGTGCACAACGAAAAAGTATTAGTAAAATATGCGTTCTAAGGATGATGATACACTTATTATGGTATGAAATTGAAATGAAAGAACATTGAAGTCCACCGTGAGTCCATACTTGTGATATTGTTCATATCATTTACCAGCAAGTTATTATTTGATTAAAGATATTCATTATTCAAATATTCAATCAAGACTTTTTAGATATACTTTGACTTTTTTTTATGTAAATGACTTTTTCATAATTCATTCATTTTTAGATCGAAGCTTTTGAATATTATTTTATATACTCATGTCTTTTGTAAAATTATCTTGTGGAAAAAAGAGTCAAAATATTTTGAAATCTCATGGAAAGTTTTCTTAATATGTTAGCACATGTGTACTTTCCATCTCTTATTTCTAGAGTTCTTTTGATTACAAAAAAGGTTTGTTTGATTATTTAAATATAATTTACAAAACAATTAATAAAATAAAGAGCAAAACTAGCTTTGTTAATTTAACACTTTATTACTTATAAATTTACGGTGTGAAACTTCAACACTCCTCTTCACGACCAGACACTTTGTATGAATCATGTGACTCATGTCATCATTCATAGGAGGGCCACACCATAATTAGGGATCGATTTGGTTCGGATTACCAACCTTTTGAATATATATCAAAAACTAATATCAAAATATCAAATAAGTGATCGTTTTTCTTCCAAACATTATTCATTTGATGATTTGATATTAGTTTTTTATGTGACTTTCGAACGAGTGTTTGTTGTAATGGTGTCATTTAAAACTACACAGTCCGTGATAGGTCCGTCCGATAGTCAGTGGCGGAACCAGAACAAAATTTGAGGTGGGGAGGGACGGAAAAAAAATTCGAACTGCAGGTTGGAAATATCTATAATCTATATCGTTTTTGTTTATATTTACGATAATTTGATCTCAAATCCAATTTAGACATTAAGTGACACTTTATTTGGACATATATGTAATTCACACACAAGCGCACACATACATATACATATCAACTTAAATAGACATTTATTTATTTGTATACATGTTTTGTTAGGGCATAAACAAAATAAAAGACTTCGTTTACCAAACGAGTTTATTTCGATTTAATATGCTTCTCCTTTTATTTTAGAATATCAAGGTTTGTATTTTTAAATATAAAAATCGCTAAACAAGTAGAAGAAGATAAATTAATAATATATATAAGTTACTAACCTCTCAAGAAAATAGTAATTTTATTTTTCTCTTTTCAAATCAACATTACTTGTAGGTTATTTATTTTGCAAATGTATTACATAAATCTAAATATACTCATATACAGTAGATATTTAAAATATCAAGAAGAAATTTTGGCATACTTGTACTAAATCAAGGAATAAATAACTATGTTAAAATTCAAGTCGTGTTGAAAACATTCCTGATAAACTCCTTATAAAATGATTTAGGGTCATTTGTTACTACTATTGCACTAAATAGAAAATGTAAATAATATTTTAATAATATTGGAAGAAGTAAAAATAAATATTTTGAATTGTAAAAATAAAAATGTAACATAAAAGTAAAAGAAATCTGTAGTGGTATAAAAATATTAAAACTAATACCATTCCAAAATGTTAAAAGAAAAGTAGAGGAAATTTAATTGGAGTACAAGTAATTAAAAAATGGACAGCAAGAATCAAACCTG